CAACGTGACGACGTATTCCGAGTCCCGCTCCACCGACCTGCCCGCGCACATTATCGCCTACCACGACCACATTGACAAGACGCAGCCCGAGACGTCCATGTTGATGATTAGCAATTTTCAGGCGCAGAACCACATTTGGATTGCGAAGCTTATTGGGGCCAAGAGAAGTGCGTTCTTTCATATCGACCTCTTTTCTCGTTTTGCCGCTTTCTTTCTGCGTTTGGGTGAGAGAGGAGAGGGCGTTTGACGCGGTGGGTTTGCTTGAGAGTTGTTGGACGCTTTTGGGCCTGCGACGCTGTGTCTCCTGTGAAGCAACTCAACTCAATCATAGTCCGAACTCAAGTGAGATATTAGAGAGATCTAGGTGAATAATTCAGGGGGTTGTCAACCTTCTCTACAATGCCTCATGTCTTAGCCACGGCCAATTCTCGTGGAGCCAAGGAGTCAGGGTTGACACACGCGGCTCTCACGCAACTCAACTCAAAACTCAGAAACCAATGCTAACAAAACATCACCCCTCCGTAGTCCTCGAAATCGGCGTCTACGTAGGCTACTCCGGCATGGTCTGGTCCCACGCCGTAGGACCAGAAGGCACTGTCACCGGCCTCGAGTTCAGCGCAGACTACGCAAAGCAAGCCGAGGAGGCCTGGGCCGCCAACGACATCAAGAACGCGTCCGTCGTTGTCGGCGACGCTCTGGAGACGTGAGATTCCCTTCCAAGGCTCGAATTACTACTCTTTCGGCCCCTCTAGTGCCACCAAACCTTCGTCGTATAAGAACGAAGAAGATGGGTAGCATTAAAGGGGCTGTAAGAGACCACCTCCATCCCACCTAACTAACACTCAAAATCAGCCTACCAACCCTGAACCCCTCAGAACCCTACGACCTAATCTTCATCGACGCCCAAAAGTCAGGATACCCATCCTACCTATCCACCATCCTCGCCGCATCGCAGAAAGACGGCAAGAACCGTCTCCTTCGTGCGGGCGGCCTCATCGTCGCGGACAACGTCCTCCGCCGCGGTATCGTCGCCGACGACTCGGACGAGAACCCGTGGGTGCAGCGCGAGAAGGGCGAACGCGCAGCGTACTGGAAATCCGAGGACGTGGATAAGCTGCGCGAGTTCAACAGCGCCGTGCATGATGAGCCGAGGCTGGATTCTTGGTTGATGCCGTTGTATGATGGTGTTCACCTTGCCAGGTTGGTTGATTAGGTGCGATGCGAGATGTTGCGAAGAAATAAACAGGGGATGATGGAGATTGGAAAGGGGAAATGATGTTGCGGACTTTAGAGTAGATGTGTAGAAATGAAGATACGATTATGAAATTATGAGACTTTCGTTTGCCACCTTTTCTAGGCAAATCTCGGCGGCATTTGGCATGTAAATCAGTTGAGAGATCAAGGTAAATCCAGAACTAGCACGTATTGATTCTGAAGATTTATGAACCAACCAATCCAGACGTCACAACCTAATGCACGATCTCTCTGCTTGATCTTCATGATTTGCTTCTCTCTAGAAGACTTGCTTCACTTGGGTCAAATGGCTATTCCTTTGTTAATAGGAACCCTATAAGGTTGCCGCTCAACCCTCTTCGTGCAAGCACAAAGGCCTCCCTTTCGAATAACCAAGGCCGGGCCATACCGAGCCGCTCGACAAGCTGATAGTTATTTCATCGGAACAAAGACTCTCTCCTAAAAGCGGGTATGTTGAAGGTTGCCTATCTCTCCACCTCTTCCTGGAACCAGAGTAAGGCTCGCATATCAGAGCCAGAGGCGTATGGAAAGAATACTGGTATTCGAAATTACCTCCTAAGTTGAACACTCAACTCCTTTTGTGAGGTTAGTCTTGAGATGCTTGAGGTGGGTGTATATATAATTATAGCTTACATGTGCTTGAAGCCAGTCGACTTCCAACACAGAAAGGGAGACATCCAAGCGCGAAATGAGCAACTTGTTCAAAATGAAGAGTCTTCATTGTCCTCCCTAGTCCCCTCCGTACACACTCAGCCAGTTTCTTTCTCTCGTCAACATCAGAGCCATTGTGTTTATTCGAACAAAGTAAACTTCAACTTTCAACAACACATATCACAAAGATCTACGGATGCCATGTTCACGAGAAGCATGTCTGCGTCTCCCCTTCCCTGGGTCTATATCACAAGGCTTCCCTCCAAGCCCCAACTTACAAGAGACGGGAAAGAGGGATAAAACAACGAAAGCTCACCCATCCTTCAAAGACTTCGAAAACCCCCAAGCTTGATAACACTACAGAGCAATTGACACACATCACCAATCTCAACTCGAACCAGTCCACCTCCTGATCGAATCTGACGATATACCAAGGTAAGCCAACATCCTCGCCACTCAACACAGCCCAACCATCAAGGGAAACACCGCAGCACAGAATCATCTCACAAAATGTGCCTCGCAGAAAACGTCTACCACGTCGCCTGCGGCTGCTGGCAGGGCCACCACATAACTCACCCATGCTGCAAACAAGCATCCACCTCTCGCTCTTGCTCCCTCAACGGCTCGTCGCGGGGTGACAAAGAATGCCCAGACCTTTCATGCTCCGGCGTCTTCCGCCAACCGGGCAAGTGCCTCGTCTGCCGCCGCCGCGAAGCCCAGCAGCAGAGCGTGTTTCCGCTTCCGATCCCGCCGCCTACGCCCCCGCCCTCGCCGTCTCCTCCGCCGCAGCCATCGCACACTCGTGCAGCGAGGCGAGGTGACGACGAGGAAAAGGATGAAGACGAAGATGAGAGCCAGAGAGTGAGAGTTGCGCTCCTGGCCGAAGTCCTTCGCCGGGCCGTTGACGTCCGCGGCGACGGAGTCGGCAACTCCTTTCGGTCCGGATCTGATACGGCGAGTAGAACGCATTCCCTAGATAACCGTGATGATAATGCTAGCCCCGGGTCTCTGACGTCGGACACTGCTGACGGAGGGACTTGTTTCATCAAGGGCTCGGAGCAGACTTTCGAGACAAAGAGTACTGCGTGGCATCAGCATTGACAATATTGTGCGCCAAGCAGTCCCCCAGGAAAGTTGTTTTCCAAGGAAAATGTCCTTTTCTTGCCATGCCTCTCTCGAGAACGCCTTGTTCTCCGAACGAGTGGGATCTCGGCCTTGCTACGCCCGAAATCACCAGCGCAAATCGAGTAAGTTACACCAATAAGTTGTGATATCGCCGGGAACAACGGTAAGGGAGGCTCTCTTCTCAAGCCGCCGCAAAAGGGAAAAAAAGCAGCAACCCACCCGTAGCAGCAGCTTCCAAAATTAACATAACACGTGTGATACCATAACCGCGAAGATCGTCCACGCCCTTGTCCTCGGCAGCAGCAAGCCCGCTCGCATCTGCTCTGCCTTACATACCAGAGCCACCTATCCTCAACCCTTCAGCAGTGGACTTCTACTGGCTGGCTGGCCCCCGCCTGACACGACAGCGGATCAAGGCATCGCGGTCGTTGGTGTGTTTCGGCAAAGGGGCCAGCTCAAAATCAACGACTCGCCGCACAAGCTCATTTGGGCGGGCATCGTTCTACTTACACTTCGGTTTCCAGTCTAATGCAATAAAGGCAATGACTTTGGCGTCTTCCTACTCTTCTCCCTCCATAGCCGCAGGGTCCTAGGCAGGGAAGGGAAGAGCAGGCGGGGCGAGGAGCGGGAGAATCGAGGGCCACGACATGAGACGGCTCGTCACTCTTTCTTACATGATTCCGGGCAGGTACGGGGTGAAGGACCAGGGCACCAGGGGTAGAGGAAGGAAAAGAAGACCGAAGAATACTGCTTCTAGAGTTTTTCGTAGTACCACATTGCCACGTGAAGCGATCGAATCTGAACAGGAGATGATAGAACCTGAAATGTACTCCGTACTTCTTTGATGTAAGATTCCATAAAGGGAGATCGTGTTTGCCCAAACTCTACCCAGTTACTTCTGCCTGACAACCCGGGCACCATCGTTGTTCAATATTAAGAGCTCGAGCCAATAAATGCAGTTTGCACTAGTTGCGTCAAATGTAATAGATTAAAGGACCAGGTTGACTAGCTGCCGGCGCCGCACGTATCGAGAAAGGGTCCCAGATACAGAGCATGGATCTCGAGCAATACCGTACAGTAAACCGTGCGAACGCAACGGTGAGCCAGAATCACCAACCACGAGCAAAGAGGACTGGGTGCTGCTGTTAACATATTGGCGTAATTGGGAACGAGAAATCTAGGAAGGCCGGATCTGTGACTGTAGATCAAAGCGACTGGGGTGAGCTCGGTCATCGTCAGCCTGTGTGCTCAAGCTCCATATGCCAGGCAAGCAGTCAACAAACAAAGCTGTATTATCACGATCCTTTGTTTGATAGTTCTGGCGCAGCACTGGCGTTCGAGCTTAGTATGGGAGCTGCGAGCACAACACGCTGTGCTTTGCTTGTGTGAAAGCTTGCTGGTGCTGAGGCTTTCGACTGGGCGTAGAGGTATCTGGGGTAGTTTGACGACGGAGCCTCGGTACCAAGTACTGAAGTCGAGGACACAAATCAGGTGACATAAGCTTTGATGGTTTCTCGAAGATGATGCGTGCCCTCGCAGTCAAAGATGGGTACTTGCGATTACACAAAATGGAGGCCGCGTGTGTTACCCTCGTTACTCGAACCACTTGTCAGAGTGAGAGGGCATGGAACAAAGACTCGCCAAGAGGCTTATTACTGGTTGTACCGGCCAGATCTTATCCGAAAGAAACGGCAGCTGATTGGGTGTAGGAGCGGAAGCCAAGTATTGTCATCCCGCCGAGTCTTTGTTTTCCATCTATTTTGTTTGCCTGGCCTCAGGAACTCATCTCCTTGTTGCCAACTCTACCAGATGTTAGAGTTTTTGACGGTCGCACAGTATCAGGTCATGGCCGAAGAGCAATGGCCATCGAGGGATCCTCGTCTCTCGCTGGAGAATTCCACCACTCTAGCGCACGCGAAAACATGGTTATCGTGCATTGAGACGTCAAGTCGCTTGCCGGCTGGGTCGGGATGGCGTTTGCAAACGAACCGACCGATGATAGCTTGGGGAGCTCGCTTCCGTTTGCAGCGCCCACAACACGCCGTTGGCTGATGACGAAGCAGGCGCGGAATGGAGGCCGGATGCCCGTGACACACTTGAGTGTAGTTGTGAAATACGGCCTGCCGGTTTAGCTAGGGATCAGACGGGACACCATGTTGAGTAGTACAACCCTTGCGAAGACCGAATCCTCAGCTAGGTCGATATATGCGTGTTTGCCTCTGCCGATGCTTACATGCGCTGTAGCAAACGCCTTTTCTCAACTGCTGAGGTCTTCCGATCAACAAACGCAGACTGCCTGGGATGCCGCGCCGACGTTGATAGCTTCCAGTACCGAAAGCTCGATAATGGTGCTGCCACTGGCTTCTGCCCGATGCAGATCGCCATGAAGGATAATGACAAGCCCACACCCTCCAACCCTTAGTCTACCCACCACTAGATGCCTTCACCGGCGAGACATTAACCAAATATTTCACAGGCTGCGACAGAGTTCCCTAGGGCCGGCGGAATGGAAAGACCGCGGATGAGCGACAGAAGATCGACTCAAACAAGCAGCGAGCTTCTGCAAGCTAGTTGACTGAACAGAACCGCCCAACTCCAAGGCCCCAGGTCCACAGCCAGCCTTATTTCATCCCGAAGAAGTTAACGTCCGCGGCGTGCGACAGCGACGTGGATGCATGGCACGAGGCGGGAAAAAATAGCCGTAGCTGCTTAACCCGCTCTTGGAGATTTTGTTGTTGCAGCACGGCATCACAGTGTTTGCTCCAACCCAAATATCATCAGAGGGAATATTGTTAAATTCTTGCCAGCCAAAGCACGGGTGCCGGACAACTTTTCCGAAGACATGCGCTATGCATCTTATTAGCTACGGTCTCGTAACTTGAACATGAAGCATGAGGCTTATCGACCAAACAACGGCATACCGTACGAGGTCCATGAGGTGTTCTGAAGTTCCGTCGTAGGCAGATTGGTTTGCCAAGAGCCAGTAAAGAACACCAAAGAGGCGCTCATTGATCCATCGACTGTCGCGACGGAACGGCAGGCCGGCGATCTATCGACTCGTGAGAGCTGACAACCGGGCATACATACACCCTTACGCCTCCGACGCAGATAGCCGGGCACCGTCTCTATGGAGGACGGTCTTTTGAAGAAGGATCGCCAAATGATACGGCGGATGTTGCGCCTCTTTGTGGTCCAGGCGCAGCCTAGCAGCTCGGGACAAGGCCCGGTGGCTTTTGGGCTGGTCATTATTTGGGCATCTGCCAACTATGGATCCATAGCAGTGTGCAGGCTAAGCTGAGACTGTCGGGCTAGCAAAGCCCCGTATCTCGCGGACGTAGCATATCGTCGTCTCTTTGACAAGGCGCTTGGTGGTTAGAGCCCCAAGTTTAATAAACTACGACGTTCTTCTAAACCTGGGGGTTCAGCTGGCACCACCTTTTGCCCCGCTAATTGATTCGGTCAGACGCAACTTGGGGGGATTTTTGGGGTAGTGTACACTACGCCAGCAGATTGATTGCTCTGGCTCCAGTAGGTGGAGAGTGTAGAAATGGAGAGTCTCGGAGTATCATCGTGTACTACTGTGACTGGCCGAGATGTTATAGCTTTGGAGTGTCTGGACGCTCAAATGTGGGATTGTTTCCAAGCATTGCGTCAACCTAAGGGTCACAGTGTGTGATGTGCAGTAATTCTGCTCCTCAACGACTGCCATCGGTTCGCGCTTCATCGGCGTGATCGTTGGCATCTCAGATTGACGAATGTCAGTCGTCCTCTGGCCCCTTGTCTGTGCGAGAAGGTAATGGTGCGTCCATTGGGAATTGCGACTTTGGCATCCAGAGTGGGCCGTGGTAACGATTTCCAGTGCTGGAGCGCCGAGATTGACTCGACTCTTTGACAATTAAACCCCGATGTCGGTAACGTAGCTTGTAGCTCGGACGTGAAGAAACCATCAGTAGCGCGCCGATGCTGGGTCATTCGTCCCATCATCATCTGACATGATAAAAGTCAAGCATTCGTGCGCGCTGCGTGCCGCGTGCGATCAGCTCTCGACAATAGAAAGTGGAGAGGCAGCTGAGAGAACTGGGTCTCTGTTTGCTCATGCAACGGCCGCGGGAGTTTCATCCTCGCGTTGACTCTTGAGTCTTGGCTTTCACCTGATATTTGATCGAGAGGTCTGAGAACTGTGACCCCGTTTGGAATGCGCGACAACCCGGCTCTGTCCGCTCGTTTCGTTTCGTCGCTCCGGCAAGTCTTGCTGGCGGGCTGCACGTTGGCGGGGCTATTCTTGATGTAACCGATGCTGACAGGATCATGGAAAGAGTTGTTTCCGTGGACTCGTCTCGAAGTCCACCAGCATGAGCAGCCAAAAGGGCCGGATTTCTGGAAAGACATGCTGATAGGGCCGCAGAGGTGCAGGAGAGTCTGGAGAGGGCCATTGAAAACGCTTCAAGCAGGCTGGAGACCACTTAGCAGAAGGACGATGGCACGTCGCAGACTGCGAGACGATGTGACGGTTGCACTGTATGTGTCGAAAGCCGTGTACATGAGCAACGTGATGCAAGATCTGGGCTTGCTGACCGAGTTTGTATCCCCGCCATCGAAGAGGCAGACCGGTATGGTGGAAACCAAGGAGGATTGCGTGCGGTAGATAATCTGAGGTTTAGGTAGATGAGTTGTTTCTTTTTCCTGCCCGCCGCAGAGAGACCCGGCCGAAGAGTGGGCTTTGAGGCTTGATGTACATGCTCGCGCACGAGTAAGAAAGAAAATGCAACACTCTCAATCTTGCTTCTGCAGTGTCAACACCAGAAAGAAGAAACGAGTCATTCCGCCAGATGGCCTGATGAATGCCATGGAGATCATTGATGAGAGGGGCTTCAAGATGCAGGCAGAAGCCAAGAGGGAAGTAAGCTGGTACGCCACGACAAGACGTTATGCTATGCGAGGCGATTGAAGCAGAGTTGCAGACGATGATGTCTCGGGATGTTGAATCTTGAGAGTGATGGCTGCCGTGTCGGTTGAGGAACGACACGGCTACACTAAGGCGTGTTGACACTGGTGCTGGGAACAAGAGGAATGTGACGCCTCGTGTTGTCCTTTGATACTGATCGAAGTAATATCCGCCCAACGTATGGTCATTTCAGCTTTTGGAACCAATAACGGAAGGAACCATCGCTGGCGATGGCTTCGTCTCTTTGTCGCTAACCGCGGGGAAGATGAATTGGTGGTGCAACGTGAGGTTGGCACAAAGTATACTGTGTAATTCAGACCGTGAATCTCCGTATTTAGCACTGTTCTGCGCCAGGATGCGTCGCGTGTGGAAGTGGATCTCTCCACCTGTCGGTGGGAACCTCTTTCCTGGACTCATGATCGCTGCGACTGATACGACCCTCTGCGGACACTCAAGTTGGTGATGTTGTGTTTGTTTGACGTTGAACAGGCAAGACGAGACCCAGGACAAGACTATCGAATTGAAGTCTATTGGATGCCGGCATGATGTGTAAATCGGACCCAAAGGTCTGGCGCGATTTTCGACCGAGAAGCTCCCGTTTGATGGGGATATATACGTATAGCTACGAGTATCCGTACAACTGGGCACCTGACTTTGTCGTAAATCGCAGACCACGATCACGACCCCGACGGTCTAGACGGAAGACGAGGTCACACGGCAGGCGGCAGCAGGGGAGTAGGGCCAAGACTCAAGAGCGAGAAAGAGACAGGGTTCAGGGTCAGGGCCCCTTTGCGTCTAATTAACTGAGAAACCATAAGAATCCACTCTGTTTGCGACCTTGCATCTATATCCCTGCAACAGCAGACCAGCACAACGTAAGCTCATTTTCTACCGATTCGTCCGGCTCTTCGCAGTCGGAGACTTTTTTTTTTTACCCTTTGCCCCCTTCCCTTTCTCTCATCTCAACGTGGACTTACCTTGCCCCTTTCCGCAAGGTAGTTGGTTCAATGTCGCTCTCGCTAGGACGATTTTGACCGTGGGCTCCGTATCCGCACGAACAAGCTAGGTATGCGCGCATATTGGTGTGAAGGCTTCGAAGGGTAAACCTCGCAGAGGATTCACCGTAGTCAGTAGTATCTGGCATCGTTTCGAGACAGGAACCCCGATACCCGTCTGGCAATGGTTGTTTCGTCGACGACGGGTCACCGGTCCATATCTCATCTACCAGGAACATCAAAAAAGGGGCCAACACGGGGGGTGCTTGATTGCCTGGGCAGGGACCCGGGGTTGACGAATCCATCAAGTATTTTCGATAATCGCAGACTTGTTGCACAACAAGAGGCGCAGGCAAATTTGAATCTGGCTAGGACGAAAATGATACAACATAGACAGATTGCCGGCCAAGAGAGATGCATTTCATTTACCTATTCGGATCAGAGCCTCTTTTATCGTGGTTTACACGGACACATACGGATAGATATTTGGCCTTTGACTTTCGCATCTGAGTACATAAATCATGACGAGTGCCAGCCACCCCAGTCTTGTGCAGGTCCCAGGGTCCTCTTTTCGCCGGGAAGTCTTGGATGGAAACACTTCCAGGCTTCCTCCTGTCATCCATTGATTCCATTTCTTCCTCCACACTGCAAGGGGCTCGACAGTGGGCAATGAGCAAATGTCACCGAAACCATCCCATCATGCTGGAGACAACGACCGCGACGAGACCTTTCTTGGAGACGCGAGACGCTAGTCCTGCCTTGGTTCCCTCCCGCTGACGTCTCTGAGCCTCGCAGTGAGACACACGGTAGTAGAGAATCGAGAACGCGAGCGGGTGTTTTACAACCTGTTGTAACCGTTCTTGAAGTTTTGTCTTGAGCGCGTTCTGTCTGCCCTGACTTGAGAGAGAAGGTTGGAGGTATGAAAGATGTTTGCACTTTCCACCTGCCCAAGATTGTCGAGGCAAAGCAAGACAGGACGGGAAGGTTCCATGAGGTGTCATGTACCTTACCTGACGTACTTTTGTACTCGCCCCGAGCTTTGAATAGTGAAGAGGCACCTGCGGCGGGTTGTCACTTCCCGGATAAGGTACTTTAGGTAAGGTACCTTGGGCTTTTGACGCTTCGTCTTCACCTTCTTTTCCATGAGTCCTTCCTTTGCAGCATTCTGCCCCACCATCCCAAACATTTGACCATCGTCCGAAAGCAATTGGGTCCCTTGGGGAGGGGGACCACGCTGCACACCGCACGGGGAAGGGAAGGACGGCTCGCTCGCTCGCTTTTTGCACCCCTGGACTTTGCATGCAGGCATGCATATACCTACCTTAGCCCGTACCTGACCACCCGAGGAACACAGCACATTCGGCTTGCCTCAGATGCTTGGTACCTGAATGGTGGGCATCTTTCCTCTCGTGCTCAGATGCATTGGATCATCCATCGCCCACATCTAGACACCTCAGGGACGGAACCACTCCACGCTCCAGTGTCTGTCCTCCAGGAGCCAAGCCTCACCTCACCTCCCGCACTGTTCCCACACCTCCAGCTCAGGGGCACGCCGCACGCCGCACGAGGAGGGGAACAGAGCCCAGATTGAATTGAATTGACCAGAGCTTCCACCTGTTCTTTGCCCTTTCATGATTCACACCGCGATATTCACCCACGACTACACAACGTGAACCACACCCGACAAATAATAAGTACTCTGTATTCGTTCAGACAGTATTACTCCGTAGTCTTGAGGTGCATCTATCCCGGCCCAAAATGAACATCTAAATATTGCCTAGCATCAAATCTTAGCCAGGTACCTTCCTACAGACTGCATGCTGAGGTGCTCAGGTATGGATACTTAGGTGCTTACCCTGCCACGCCTGCCTCCACTGGCTATGTCACTTCCAATGCACTCTGCCCACCTGCACTAACACCACCATCTCAAAGGCGGCGCGCGACAAAAAAAAAAAAAAACACCCTTTGCACTAAGCTTCCCAAGACTTCCTCTTCCGTCCTGGTCGCAACTCGTCCTCCTGGCCTCAGTTCGTCGTCCGTTTTCTTTGGCTTGTCTTGGTCTGTCTGGCTGGTGGCTCATGCGCATCGGCTTCTCTCTCTCTCACTCTCTTTCTTTCTCGAGCACCACTCTCGAGTCTCTCGCTCTCTGTCAACCAAGTCTCAACCTGCCGCGCTTGCTGTACCGGCTTCTTCTCTCCTCCACCTCCCCAGACAGACCTCATTTCTCACCTTGGTCATCTTCTTTTCTCCATTGCCAACCTAACGCTCAGCTCAGCTCCGACTCTCCTCCTCCTCCACCGCAACTTTCTTCTCCCCAACATCTACGTTTCGAGCTGGCCACCCCTCCGCTGGTCGCATGATATCCATACCACCTTTCTGCTCTCGTTGTTGAATCTCAGCTTATATCCACCATCGCTACATATACCAATCGGCCCTCTACTACTTCCAACACGCCCTGCTATCATCGTCACCTGTCCGGACAGAAACTTTCTTGCATCACCGTCGCACTCAGCGTCAGGTACGTTTGTTGCGAGTCTCTTTCGTCTGTACCTTCCCGGTCCTTCCACACCCACCTGTGCACACCCAGCCCTTCGCGCCGCCGTCTCCTGGCCAGCACATCAAGCAAAGTTCCCATCAACGGATACTGTACTGCCTCTCCAAACTCAACATACCCCCATGTTCGCCTGCCTGCGTCGAAACTCAGTCACCCGTTCGTCGCCCCGGTCGAGCCAAGGACCGCGTCTTCCTCGTTCCCCTGGACTGCACGGCAACCTCCTCAGCTCTTATACGGATTGATCGTCTCTGCCACGCCGATACTTCGTACCGAACCATTTCACCCGATTTTCCACTCCCACTCCCACCCCCGACACAGTCTCTTCGTCAGTGCCACACGTTCTGCAAGACGTGGTTACCACGCATGAATCTCTGTCTACCTCTACCCCCCAAGTGGATCACACCCAGGTCCTTCACTGCCATGCGAACGTGGACCAGGTGTTTCAGCTCTGCAATCGCCGTCCACTGCTCGATTGACAAAAAATAACTTGGCTAACAACTCAACTTGCGCAGCCATCCGTCATACCCTCCTAGCCTTCCCTTTCGCGTTATCATTTCTGTAATAGTCGCAAACGCCTGTCAATACTTCCGAGATCACTTGAAAGGACCCATCGTCATTCGCTCGCGAGAATACTACCTTTACCAATATTTGTGTCGCCTCAATCTAATCTCCTGTGGTCTCACCTGGGCCCAGGAGACCTGCAGTACTGGTTTCCCCGACTTATAGACCCGGACTTCCAGCAAACATGGCCAACACAAGTGCTGATCCGGCCGCTGTGTCGCTACCAACTTCTGGTCTCTCTTCGCCCCAATTCCAGACGAGGTCGCGCACCCAGAGCGTGTCGAGCGATCGCCCTTCCACCATTATGAGCGCTGGCCTGATGTCGCCTCCTCTCTCCGTATCACCCGAACCCGCCTTCATTGCCGCCTCGGCCGCTTCTCAGATCGTCACCAACGATCACGATAGTCACGCAGATACCTGGTACGATCAACATGGAATCGAACCCGCAGGAGAGACGGCTTTGGTGTCGACAGCTGCGCTGCAATTGGTGAATAGCTTCCTCGACCAGCTCCTCTTCAACTTTTTGTCTGCCTCCCGCGCAACGACTCTTGCCGCCCTGCGACCAGCTGTGTCCGAAGTCTTGAAACCAAAACTCGCCAAAGATGCTATTAATCAGGCTGATGAGGAGCTGCGGGAGTACCTTGGCGGAGGTGATGAGGATGACCTGATCCAGTCGCAAAGTCCGTCCTCGCAGAGGGACTGGGACTTAGAACTTGTTTGGAAGCGGACGCGGCTGAGGTGCATGGTGTACTCGTCGCTCGGTGACATGGAGGAGGAAGACGAAGACTACTACATGGAGCAGGAAAATCTCAAGCCTGCCATGGATGAGCGCGGGCCCGAAGTCATCTCCCCTGCGGTCGCTATTTTCTTGACGTCAATCCTCGAATACATGGGCGAACAAGCCCTGGTCATTGCCGGCCAAGCCGCATACCACCGTCTACGAGCGAAGTTCGAGAAGGAGCCCAAGGAGGGCGCAAAGAGCATTGCCGATGTTGCTGACAGGATTGTGGTTGAGGAGCTGGACATGGAACGGGTCGCACTTGACAGGACTCTTGGCAGACTTTGGCGGGCATGGAAGAAGAGGTTGCGTTCTCCTACTCTGGAATCGCGCCCCTTTTCGCGCAATTCTTCCGGTCATCCCAGACAATCCAGTACTCCGGAGGCCCGCGAGACCGCGCTCCCTGTAAAGGGCCTCGGAATTCAAGAAGCCCCAATCGAGGAACCCGAAATCGACGACGTAGAGGAATACGTGAAAGCATCGGCCATCCCTCTGCCGATGGGGGGTCGCGATGTTGATGAGATCGAAGTACCGGGATTGGCTTCCTACAGCGACGACGAGTCGGATCATGAAGGTGAAGACGAGCCGGCGGCGCAACGACCGAAGAGCCTGATGATTTTTACTTCCCAGCCCAGCAATGATTTGCCCACCCCCACAATGTCTCAACCTCACACGCCAACTGCTCCCTCGACTCGCAAGCGCTCAAATTCCTTGCCGACCCCTTCGCCGTCCCCATACACCTCTCCAATTGTCAAACGCACCCGGGCTGAGCCAATTGAGACTGGTTTGGTTGATGAGCAGGTCGGCATTCCAGAGAAGGAAATTTCTACAGAGGCTGTGGAAGCCCAGCCAACCGAGACGCTGCCAACCCCAGACGACTTCACTAAGCCGATCGTAGAGCAAGGGCCGGCTGAGACTCGGGAAGAAGAGTCAAAGCCAGTCTCTGATGAAGCTCCTGAGCCGAAGCCTCGCAACCCTAATCGCATCTCACAAGTTGTCGCCCCTGTCGTCGCGACTGCGGCATCCGCAGCGACCACAGTTGCTGTTGCTTCCACAGGCAAGCCACCACAGAAGGAGACTCGATCAGCAGAAGAAAGTGGCGATATCGACGATTTTACCGAGGAACCAGAAATTTGCACCTCCTCTAGAGTTTCCATCGCTGGGCGTAGCTCTCCGAGCATCTCCGACTCCGGCAAACCTGTCGTGGTCGCTCCAAAGTTGTTGCAAAGAACACCTAGCGTCCACTCAGCTCGCGTTGTTGACGTTCACGGGCCTAAGAGCCCTGTGACCGGCTCCAGAGCGTCTTCGGTTGACGCTTCTGACCGCTCTCAGCAGGCCAGCCTCTCCCGTGCCAACAGTGTTTCTCGCGTAACACCACCCATCATCGAAGAGAAGCCGAAGCCTAAGCCAGTAGAGATTGAAACCATTATTCGGTCATCAACCTCGACACCGCGTACTCGGTCTCCCGTTGAGAAGTTGTCTCGGAGACAAAACACAAACGAGTCCATCTCAGAAGTTGACGAGGATGCCCAAGCTCAACCTTCACGGCTAACATCGGCTGCGTCAATACCAACGCCCACAGCCGGTACTCCTGCAATCAGGTCTTCCCAGGCTATTTTCAATTCTTCCCAACGCACAGGGTCACCTCGTCGCGATCACACTTCATCCGCCACTAAAGTCACCATCTTGAGGGACACGCACAACAACGGGCCTATCGCCGAGGAACCTTCGCCACGCCATCGGTCTCATACGACGCCAAACGTGACTGACCGCAGTGGTGGTCGGTCAGCCAATGGAACTCACTCCCCAGCGGCGAGCATCGGAGTCGTGACTGTTGAGCGATCTGCTGCTGCTGGACGCGACTCCCCCGATCGCCCCAGGCACCTGCGAACCTCCGGCTCCTCTGGCTCTTCGAGCACGGGCAAGATCCGAGCCGTCAGGACTTCTGAAGATAGCAAGGCTTCCGGCCGTGCCGATAACCTCGCTCGTAACTTTGAGGAGCTCATTCAGAGTGACCAGACCATTCAGTACACGCTTACGCCGGAGAGCATGCGTGACATTGATGTGAGTTGTGTTTCTTAATTGCCTCCATGGCATCCACTAATGGTCATGTAGGGAAACCGTGCACAAAGCGCAAGTCCGGTAGTTGGACCCAAGTCGAGGAGGAGCGAAGACGCCCGCACGGCCTTGAACGGCGAACGTAACAGGTCTGTCTCTGGAATCGATATCCGAAGGACCATGTCTGTCAGCCGCGCAACCGGCTTGAACTCGCACCCACCCGAAGCCAAGAACAAAGGTTTCGTTCCGAAGGCACCTCCTAGCACAACCCTCACTCGGTCGCGTACCGGCGGTCCACAGGCGAGAGACGCTCGGGTACCCCGCGACACTGCGATGAACGATTTTGCCGACTTCATCAGGTCTACCGGCCCGACAGCTGACAACGGTCCTGCACCCCTACGGAACGTCAGCGGCCCACCGCCGCCTGTGAAACACAGCTTGGATTCGAGACGCATCTCATCATCGAACAACCGGCCACGACTACAAGCGCGGGATGCTGCCGTCGACAATCGCGAGGATAACTCGGACCTAATCGATTTCATCCGACGAGGACCGCCTAGCTCGAGCAATCCCCGTATTCCTCGAACAGTGGCTCCATTCCGGACAACGATGGATTCTGACCAGATGTCGGGTGCTGTGGGTGGCAAAGCTGTTGATGCCAGCTTGCCAGATATTCGATACAGTCAAGCGTCGACCAACGTGACGGATATCACCCAGCCCTCTGTACAGTCGTCGATCAACTCCCAGAGCGCTCTTCTCAAGAATCGTCCCAGTGGCAACGGCTTTGATGACGACGAAATGATGCCCAAGCGCACGAGACGTCGCGTGCGCGATCCGTACGCCATCGACCTTAGCGATGAAGACGAGGAGGATTACGCGCAAGCTGTCCGGCCTCCGCCAAAGAAGGAAGAGAGCCTGGCCGACTTTTTGAAGAACTACTCGCCGCCGCCCGAACCCGCTGCCGCCCCTCACAACGTTCCCAAGAGGAAGGCGAGCGCTCCTAGTCTTATTGGACGCTTCTCCAGAAAGGACAGCAGTGCGGGATCCAACAGCGCAAAACCAGCCAAGGTTGACAGTCGGTCCTTGAACAGCCGCGCTGGAGGTGCACATGGTCACGTTCCAATCCAAGTCAACGCTCCTGGTCAGGACAAGTACGGGGCTTCTGACGCTACTGCCAGCCGTGGAGCCATGCATTCCTCGGGACGCGTGCCGATGAAGAAGTTTGAGCCAAGGGAGGCCGTTTCGTCCACGAGCCGCACCAACGACCTGGCCTCATTCCTTCGCAGCTCCGAGCCGCCACAGATGACGCCTGCGGCCCGTGCCGCTACCGGAGAGCCTCAGCAACAAAGCAGCGGTAGCAGCTTTTCCAAAATGTTTGGTCGCCGGAAGAAGTCGAACTTGGCTTAGTTGCCCAAGCCGCGCCGGCGCGAAGCCACGACCTGAATGAAGATCACGACCTCTCTATCAAGTATGGAGAAAATTACAACAACCATATAGCGTCTGTTCGTCTTATTGTCACGCAAGAAATCTGTCACCTGGTCATGGTTGTACCGAGGGGAAATACGGCACACAGCCGAGCCCGGGTTGCTCTGTTTGGTTCTACCTTTTTGTTTCTACACACTCGTGCCTCGCGCTCCATGTTTTGATACCACTCTTCCCAAAGATGGGATAGGATTTTGTTCATTTCTTGAGCCGTCTCGACCAAGGGCCCTTAGGTAGTCTTTGGCATCGTTTTCTTTGGATAATAGGATCCTTGATGGACTCTTGACAGTTCACTTGGGCAGCGGAAGACGAGCCTGGAAGCATTCTTAGTTAGATACGCAAAAGCGGTCAACAATACAAAACATGCTTCTCTCATATTTCTTCTCTCAATACTGTTAAATCATGGCTTGGGATTGAGATTTGGTAAGTCAAAGGACAATTAATTGACCCTTACACAGTAGATACTAGCGGTTGCCAAGGCAGGGGGGGATGGTGGGCCCTGTCCGCAGACTTGATAGTCTTCGACATGGTGCTAATCATGCAATCGTCGACTGGCAGGCCGGGGGTGACCTGAAGCGATCGAATCCCATTGGCCCCAGCTTCGTTGAGCCCGTTTGGACCGCTGGGGGAGGGTTACACTGACGAATTGCCAGTACCGGACGTCTGTCTCCATCGGTAAGTTCTGCAACGCCAGACAGGACGAAAGACTCAATACACCGAGGGATGTCGCGGAGCGGCGGAGCGTTTTCTATGGACTAGTGTACGAAGCCACAGCCTCCCCCATGTTCCGCGAATTAATGGGGATTCGTTCCCACTACGGAGTACAAGTCTACAAAACGGTGCTCTCCGCCGCCACGCTTGTGGGGCACTTTAGAAGTCCAGAACTCACGCCCCCAGGACGACTCGCACATAGGCGGGAACGAGCCCATTTCTTTTTTCGTTGTTACAAGCCAAGACCATCCGTAGCAACAGGGAATCGCACAATCATGGCTGAGCCTTCTTCCACCGTCCCGTTAGCTACCACTGCTGCTAGCCCCGCACCGGGAACGGCTCCGGCTGGTGATGCTCCTGTGCCGGCGGCGGCGGCGGCAGCGCCAGCTCCGGTAACCAACGACAACAACCCGCCGAGCCCGGCACCGGCGCCTCTCGAACCTGATGAGGATGAAGGCAACGTCCGTTTTCTTCTCTTGATTCTGAACAATGCTCACCATTGGTTTTCCGCCCAATCATAAGAATGAACATGGAAGCTGATATTGGGGCTTTAGTTCACAGAGGGTTCTTCTACAGCTGATGACCGCATGTGCGTATCATCTTGGTGCCTCTTCTGCAGCTCGTTTCAACTGGGCTACCCCTTTTTGCCTTTACTAAACGAAGCTTCCCCTCTGGTTTAGCTCGAGTTATACCGCCTCGTTATCCTCGAGCGTCGTAGATTACCCCATCGAATACGGACGTCGCTATCATGCTTTCCGACCAGGGTGTCAGTTATTCTTTTTTTTTCCATCTTTTCCGCCACTTTTAGTCGCTTGCACATGGTATTCTAACTGAAGGTTTGATGCGTAGCGTATAAGTTCCCTAATGATGAGGTACTGAGAAAGCTACCCCCGTATTCATCCATATAGCCAACAAGAACCGTCAGCTGACTTCTTTCTAGTCTGAGATGGATAGGCTCGATCTGGCCCATGCGATGATGGTCAAGGCGATTGGGAGCAGGCTGTATAACGCGCCGCTGAAGAAGGAAAAGGTGCAGAGGATCCTCGATATCGGGACTGGGACCGGACTGTGTATGTCGTGAACACCCCTCCTCTCCTCTTCTCCGTTCCGAGGGTCGTCATTGAGATCTGCTTGCTAAGTTTTGCACCTTCGTGTTTAGGGGCCGTGGAAATGGGCGACATCTTTGAGAACGCAGAGGTATAGTACCTGGTCTACTTCGACCAAGTCTTTCACCACTCGGTGGTAAACTTCGTGGTAGCCTTACTGACGAGGAAGTTCAGGTTCTCGGCATTGATCTGAGTCCCATCCAGCCAGAATGGTATGATATCCTCTTACCCATCCTCCCCTAGTACTCAGCATCAAGACCTCATGATTATGAGAGAGTGTAAGCGCCCACTTTTACTAACATAATCCAAAAAAAAGGGTCCCTCCAAACGTCAAATTCGAAATTGACGACGTCGAAAGCCCGTGGGTCGGGAACAGGAAATACGACTTCATCATGTGCCGGTACATGGTCGCCTCCATCAAGGACTGGCCCGGCCTGATCAAGAACATATTCGAGTACGTCTTTCCTCGTCCCTTTCTTCCCGTCCTCCCATCCTCCCGTCCTCTCGCCCTTGGGGTGGTTGGAAAGCCCCCCTTTTCCTGGAGTAATGTACGAACCAGGTGGCAGCGGAGAGAGACCTGACTAACACCACAAAACAAACAAACAGCCACCTAAACCCAGGAGGCTGGGTCGAATTCCAAGACGTAAACACGCAATTCTACTCCGACGACGACACCTTCTCCCAAGACTCCGCCACCGCCCGCTGGATGGCCGGCTTCGCCCGCGCCTGCAAAGGAATGGGCCGCGACACCGACGTGGCGCCGACGCTCGCCTCCCTCTTGCGACAGGGCGGCTTCCCCTCGGAGACGGTCCACGCCCGCCGCGTCAAGGCGCCCCTGGGCCCCTGGGCAAAAGACCAGTTCTACAAGGACCTGGGCATGATGAACCTGATCCTCACCATCGACGGCCTCGAGGCGCTCTCGCTCAAGTTGTTCTCGGAGCTGTTGGGGCGGACGCAGGAGGAGATCCTGGTGGAGACTGCGGCTGTGAGGAGGGAGTTGAAGACGGGCGCTTTCGGGGCCTTTCATGCCATGTTTGATATGTGAGTTTTTTTCCTTTTCTTTTTTTCTTTTTTGTCTTTCTTCGTCATGGTGGTTACTAATGGACTCTTTAGTTACAACGTGTATGCGCAGAAGCCGTTGGAGACGGAAGATACTACGCAGTGAACCTGGCATATCCTCGGAATTATGCAGTCCTAGACAAAGGAGTCATGATAGCTTCCCAACATGACAAATGATTTACCTCGCCTTGTCATTCTCAAAACAATTATCTGTTGAACGGCAAGTAGCCAAGAGTCTGACTTACAGATTTACAATCGCTCGCATAATCGCCGTGTTGTCTCTCAACGTGCTTTGCTCTAGATCCCAGGAACCCATATCTGTATTGAGCTCCGCGTGCTCTCCTGGTCAAGGAGCAGCAAATGGCAGGCAACGTATGGCAAGGAGGAAAATACTGAGACAAATTGGCTTACGTCCAGACATAGAAGTGTACGAGCTTTACTCATTTCATCATTGCGTACTACTACTGCGTATTCATCGCGATGTAGACTACGGTAAACCAGAACAATCGCACAACATTCCCTTTGGCATGTGCCCCTTCGAAGCCCAACTCCAACATCAGTCCCGGTCGCTAAACAAGTCGTTGCCACACGACCGTTGTAGGAACCTCACAAAACCAGAAAACTCCTAATTTGATCCATTTGTCACCCGCGGCCGCTCCGTTCGGATCCTGTCTGCCATCCAGGACCGATAACCGCATGCACCATGTTACCCTTAAACCCTCCGTTTGGTACTATTTCCTAGCCAGCGCCACCTGGCGAGAAAGCATGAGGGTATCGCCGCCGCCATTCGTAACCGTAGGAAAGAAGTGCAAAAACTAACATGCAAAACTAGTCGCCAGCGTACAAGTCCGAGGACAAGGAAAAGCACAGAGAAGAAAATACGAGAAACAAACTGCAAAAGTAGTCAATAAAAATAATGTAAAAGTAGACTCATTGAATCTGGGCCGTTGAAGTGTGCCCATGTTGCGAAACAATCGTGACAACTCCACAGCAGAGGAGTAGTCGTGACTCAGCGGTTGTGCGGAGCCGATAAGTGGTGTTGAATCAGTGACCCATTTCGTCATCATGGCTCTGATAGCATCAGCTGATAAACTCAGAGAAACGAGAGACGCATCCGCTCTCACAGCGATGAAACGGGGTAGCGAGAAGAGGTCATGCGCCAGTGTGGAGTGGCCCTCTTTAGATCTCCATGTGGGCCACGACGTCCTCACTCATCCGCCGTACCGGGCTCTTCCGGTCAGACAGGCTCTCATCATCGTCCTCTTCGTCGTAGTAGAAGCGCTCCTCGGTGTAGTCGTCATCAGAGAACGGAACCAGATCGCCATCGGCACCCCGATTCCAGAGGAAGCCATCGCTTTGTTCTTCGTCATCTTCGTACGGTGCCACAACCTCGGCGTCGCGGTCTCCTAGCCAGTATTTTGCGCGCTTGTTGCCGGCCAGTGCATCAAATTGGGTACTCCGCGTCCGCTTGACGGAACCCGGAAGCGCCGGTTGCAGTCGCGGCGATTGGGACGATACGACCGGGACAACGCGCACGTAGAGGTAGGCGACTCGCTTCAACGCGCGGTTGAAAAAGAAGTAGTGAGCAGCCCAGATTGCAGACTCATCTTCCTCAAAAGGATCGACGTCCGGATTGTAGCTGAAGACTGTGCATTCGTTAAGGCGCATCTCCTTATCAATTTTGGACCAGCATTGTGGGCCCCACACCGGCTTGGTCTCCGAAGACGTGGCCTGCTCGACCGGCCGTGCCTCAACATGCGGTCTGACATTTTGTAGGATTGAGTCGAGATTCCCCATCACTCTCCGCAGGTTTCTTTCTTTCTTGAAGTCGCCTGGCCTCAAAACGTGCGAGAAATCGTAGTGTTGATGACTCGCGTTCAGTGTCGCAATCAGATAAGCAAATGTCCGGCGACTCGCGAGCTCTGATAAGGGGCCAAACGCGCTCGAGTGTGAGAACATTTGCATGTTGGGAGATGTTGCCAGCATGGCTTCGCGGTCTGGCGGTGAAAGGCTTGCGCCCAATTTGAGGAGCGCGGCATGTTGTGAACT